GCTAGCTCTCCCTGAATTCTGTGCGATCTGACCTTGCTAACTAGTCTACCATGTGGAACCTTGTTGAACACCTTGCTGAAATCCATATATAAAATGTCCACCGCTCAGCTTCATCACTCCTATTTGCCACTTCTTCAAAAAACTGAATCAAGTTAGTGAGACATGATTTCCCATGCACAAAGCCATGTTGACTATCCCTAATCAGTTCTTGCCTTTCCAAATACATGTAAATCCTGTCCCTCAGAATCCCCTCTGGTAAGATGGTGGCAGAGTAAGTCACTCCAATCAGAGCTCCTCTGCTCTGCTCATTCTGCATCTTCTTTTCCCTTTTCTCAACTCCCTCTTTCCTCTCTTCTCTCCCTTCCCTTGGACTCAGGTATCAGGCCCCGGCCTCCAAAGCAGGGTTGGTGGAGACACCAGTGGCCACTGGACAGAGTGGGGATGCCGGCAACCAGTGGCTGACCGGGGACACCAGGAACCAGTGGCTGAAGCATTGATGCCAGTGATCAATGGCTGCAGCGTGGATACTGGTGACCAGTGACCCAAAGCAGGGATGCTAGTGACTAGCTGCCAGAATGGGGATGCCAGTGACCAGCTGCTGGAGGGGGGACGGCAGCGACCAGCGGCCCAAAGCAGAAAGGTTAATTATCATTCAGCTACCAGGCCGTTTTACCAATGGTGGAGAAAATAGCAGGCGGCCCTCCTGCCCAGAGGAAGACTGAGTCACTTAAGTCACTAATTAAGGGCCTGAAGTTGCAGTGGGTAGCATCTTGCCAAGGGTGGTGGACCTTCTGCCTGGTAAATACTGATGGAGTACCTATGTGCTAAAGGAGAAGGGTCCTTTCTGAGGTACTCTGTAGCCCAGAGAGGGCTCCATTCTTGGTAATAGTCTCTCTCTCTCTCTCTCAGTAACCACATCCCCACCCTTAGCAATTACCTTAACAATCACAGGGGCCTGCTAGACAGACACTATGCCCAAAGACCAACTTCCAGTTGCCTGCCACTTTAACACATCACCCTGTTCCCTGGCTAACATCTGTCTCAGGCCTGCTGCAGTATTCCAATGAAGAAGTTAGAAGAGAAGTTGTTTAGGGTGCAGACGAGCTCAGCCAAGCAGCGGAGGGTGGTGGTGGGTGGGGACTGTTCAGGCCTTTGCTCCAGGAGGAAGCATACAGCCCTGAGACCATCTTGGTCGGGAATGGACGTATAAAGGGATTGCATGTCCATGGTTAAAGAGGAGGCAGCTGGAGCCTGCAAATGAAGTTCCAAAACTGGAGTAAAGCATCAGAGGAATCACAGATGTATGTGGGCAGGGACTGGACAAGGGGAGAAAAGACCGAGTCGAGGTAGGAAGAGATGAGTTCTGTGGGGCAGGAGCAGGCTGAAACAATGGGTCTACCCGGGCAGTCCTGTTTGTGGATTTTCAGAAGGAGACAGAAGGGAGCTGTGCAGGGCTGGGGGACTATCAGTTTGGAGGTAGTGGGGTGGGGAGTTCACCAGATGAAATGAGGTCAGTGACTGTAGTAGATACAATGGCCTGATGTTCCATGGTGAGGCCATGGTCCAGGGAGAAGGTATCTGAGAGCTGGGGCTCAGCCTCTGCAGCGTAGAGGTCAGTATGCCAGACTACAACAGCACCACCCTTGACGGCAGGCTTAATAACAAAGTCAGGATTGGATCTGAGTGCCATGGAGTGCAGTCGGTTCGGAAGGAGAGAGGTTGGATTGGGTGGGGGGTTGGGGGGGCAGGTGGGGGGGCGGGGCGGAGGTGGGGCTGGCGGGGGTGGGTGGCAGAGAAATTTAGGCGACCAATATTACGCCGACAGTTCTCAATGAACAGATGAAGTGCAGGTAAAAGGCCAGAGAGAGGGGTCCAGATGGAGGGAGAATGTTCGAGCTGAGCAAAGGGGTTTGTGGGACAGGGAGAGGACTCTTGTCCAAAGAAATGTCAAGTTCCATTCTCCCAGTTCCTCCATCTCTGTCGTATATGTTCCGATGAGGCCAACTTCGACAACTTTGAGCATCCGACACGTCCGCCTTCTTCCTCAACTGAGGATTGCTCAGCACTGTTGTCAACAGGGCCCTCAACTGGGTCTGACAAATCTCCCACACTTCCACCCTCACCCCCTCTTTTCCCTCACAACAGAGATAGGGTTCCCCTGTCCTTATTTACCATCCCACCAGCATCCACATCCAAAAGATCATCAGATGCCATTTCCGCCACCTCAAGAGAGATACTACCACCAGATACATATTTTCCTCCCTTCCCTTGTCCGTCTTCTGCAGGGACCATTCCCTCCAGGACACACTGGCTCACTCTTCCTTCACTCTCAACACCGCACCCCCCCCACCCCACAGCACCACGGCATCTTCCCCTTCAACCGCCATAGGTGTAACACCTGCTCATTTACTTCCACCTTCCTTGGTATCCTAGGGCCCAAATATACCTTCCAGATGAAGTAGCTTTTCACCTGCACTTCACACAATCTAGTCTACTGCATTCACTACTCACAATGTGGTCTCCTCTACACTGGGGAAACGAAACGTAGACTGGGTGAACACTTTGCAGAATATCTACGTTCTGCTCACAAAAATGACCCTGAGCTTCATGTTGTCTGCGACTTTAACACCCTGTTCCCTGGCCAATATTTCTGTCTCAGGCTTGCTGCAGTGTTCCAACGAAGCTCAGTGCAAGCTGGAAGAACAGCACCTCATTTTCTGCTTGGGGACCCTGCAACTGTCCAGACTCAATATCAAGTTCAATAATTTTAGGGCCTGAACTCTCCTGTGTCCTAGTCCCCTACCCCATACACCAGGCCTTGTTATCATACAGTCTGCCACGACACATTACCTATTGTTAGTCATTAACAGTCTCCATTTACAGCTATTCACCTTCCTAGCCAGGTCATTATCTACTCCTCTGTCTGTCCAACTGTTCTTCTCTCTGTTTGGATTCTATCCCCACCTTTTGTTTACCCCTCACTCCCTCACCCCACCCTATCACCTGCACATAAACCAACATTTTCCTAGCTACCATCAGTTCTGAGGAAGGGTCACCGGACCTGAAACGTTAACTCTGATTTCTGTTCACAGATGCTGCCAGACCTGCTGAGATTTTCCAGCAACTTTTGTTTTTGTTTCTGATTTACAGCATTTTTTTCGGTTTTTATGGACAAAATTTGACTTGGGTTCTGTCACAATTTGAAACAAGATCGCCACAGATTTTCTGGTGTGCCATCAGGATATGTGTCCTTTTCTACTCAGCTGTAATGACTAAATACAGCCCAATATCTGACCATCTGGTTGAAAAGGCAATGAAAACGTATTGCAAGGTCATCACTGAAGTTCACCTTTATACAGCTGAATGCCTAATTGGATGCTTCCAACAATTATAAAAACCACTTACTCGCAATTAGCTTGGAGTTGTCCTATTCCAACACTGTAACTTTGTTAGTCTGGTGCGTGCGCTGCTCACATAACTGAACAAGATTCCAGTTTAGTTACAGCACAGAGTGACAGCAAGATATTTCTTGAAGATTATTCTTCATATTGTATGAAAATCACAAGCAATAGATGTTTTCATGATTCCAAGTAACAATGAATATAAAATACTCATAATTTATCAATTAAATGCATGTAAAACTGAGTTAGATATTGTAACCTCGCATGATGTATGAAATATACTATTTTCAAAATATAAGAAGAAGTCTTTAAATAGTTTAGAAAACTATCTATTTTATAGATAGAGTAGGAACTGTCAATGCTGGAGTCTGAGATAACAAGGTGAGAAGCTGGGTGAACACAGCAGGCCAGGCAGCATCAGAGGAGCAGGAAAGCTGATGTTTTGGGTCTGGACCCTTCTTCAGATTGATTATCTATTTTATAGTTGTCGATTACGTGTCAGCAATTTTGATTCCTTCTTGTAGCTGCAATTCCTACTTACCCTGTGATTTCTACAAATACTACAATGTTACAGGCATACATTTTCTGAGTCACCAAACCAATATGAACTCAAAAGTTTTAATAATTGATTGTTAATGTGCACATTTTAACCATCATTGTACAAGTCAGAATATGTGAAAAGAATCAAGGATCAAGATATCATAAATATTTGGCAGAGGACACAGTTTGGTTAACAGTGAAGAGTTCTGACAGTGTTCAAAATATACATAAAGAGCAATCAATTCAAATTTGTTTTGTGCTTCTATTGAATATCCACATTCAAATATCACTGACTGGTTAAGGTTGAGGTGAGAAGTCAAATACAAGTTTCATAAGTAGGATCACGTAATAGGTATTGCACAATCAAAAAAAAAATTCCAAAATGTAGAAGTATTTCCAAAAGAAGTTATCATTTGGTTGCACAGAACTTGGATATGGTTGGAAATAAAAACACATTTTGTCAAAGCTCAGAGATAGCAAGGACTGCAGATGCTGGAGTCAGAGACAACACAGTGTGGAGCTGGTGGAACACAGCAGGCCAGGCAACATCAGAGGAGCTGGAAAGTTGACGTTTAAGAGTCCTGACCTGAAACGTCAACTTTTCTATTCCTCTAATGCTGTTCCTCCAGCACCACACTGTGTTGTCTCTTTTGTTGAAGTTGTTCATTCTGCACTCATCAGGACAATTTGCAAGAAATACCAAATTAGAGGGGAATATACATTTTTACTCTGCATAAGGAGAGTGCTGATTGATTGGGAACTGGAGCTGCTGCCATGGAGAATGTACCAGTTAGATGGCAACTATCAAGCATTGTTTAAATTTAAACTAGGCAGGTTGACCCTGCTTGATAAGCCTTCAACCTGAGAAATGACCCAGAGAATGATTGTAACCTGTTTGGTGAGTTGAACAAGGCACAGTACATGTGCGTGTTCTTTCTATCTTCAAAGAACAAGGCCCCGTGGATTGATGAAACTTTGCCATAATGTGTTTTTTTTAAGTAACATTTGCAAATAATTTCTTCTAATGTATCAAAATAATGTGTTGGGGATAACACTGACCTTGGATTTTGGTGGTGCTCGAATGTACCATTTACAATCGACTGCCTCTGTGGGATTGGCTTTGCCTTCTTGTACGGCTTGTTTTGATTCAATGATCCCCTCAGGTCCTCCCATTTCAAACTCACATGCTGGGTTAAACAAAAGAAAATCCAATGGGGAATCACATGGCGTTATCAGATTGATCAAAATGAGTGTTGTTCGTGTAAATGCTTAATGCGTTTACTAACCTGGCAATGGTTTCAGGGCACCAAGGTGTGCAAATTCAGGATCTTTAAAGATAAGAAAAAAAAAGATTTATAGAAAAAATCCAAGCAAATTTTGGATTGACTTTAACTGAAATAAACTAATTATACTGAAGCATGAAAAAAATCATTACTCGAAACCATCTACATAGAGTCTTTTTGCATGCTGCCATTGTGCATTTCAGATTATAATACTGAAGCAATAAATAACGGGAAAGTATCCTCAGGCTAAGTACTCCAAAGGAATAAAATCAGATTGTTACTGATCATTTCTATATGAAGTTGGCTTGATTGTTCAGCAAAAACACACAACTAGTATATTCATCACCACTGTCATCAAATAAGACAAAGCAAATAAATCTTCCAGCATAGCACAGGCTGTTTTCAACACAGCCAACCCATTCTCAGCTATTCATGGTCCCCATTATCAGCTTTTCTCCTTCCCTGGCTTACTATCATCCATCTCTTTGTCTGCCTGTCTTTCTTGGCCTCATGGTTCCATCTCTAACTATCTGCTTACTCATCCCACACCACATCCTCTTCCCCCAACTTCTCCATATATACCATCATTTCCTAGCTACTATCAGTTCTGAAGAAGGGTCACTGGATTTGAAACATAAACTCTACTTCCTCTCCATGGATGCTGGAAGACCTGCTGAGTTTCTCCAGCAATTTCTGCTTTAGCTTTAGGTCTTCAGTTTGCTTTAGCTATGTTTGTCAAATATCCAGTTTTTCTGTAATTGTAGAATTTAATACTGCATTGCCAATTCTTCAAACTGAAGTCATCTTGTTTCCAAGGATTTAACACTTGCAGATTTTAGTTTTCTGTAAACACGCAAAATTTAGTACGAGAGCAAAAGAAATATGCTCAACTGTAGTCATATAACAAATTGAACATTTATACCAAAAACCACAGACATAGTTATAAAGCCACATACATAAATTTTTGTCAAGGTTTATTTGGAAAACCTATTTGTTTAACAGCTCCGCTATACGGCTGGTGTACAACACTAGGCTGCAGAATCGTCTGAGAGATTTATTTTCCAATCCTTCTTAGCATATTCCCTCACATGTGACGGGAACTATGTAAGGAGACAATGCAGCAACATTCCTGCAGTGATAATCATCTGTTCAATTCCCTTAACAAACACTGTATCTAATTCCCAATTGACTTAACTTTCTTTTCTAGCAAGAGCAAACCAAAATGATTACCCCGAATGGATCGGTGATCTTTTTACAAACACATCCTTGTAACTGATTTGATGTGACAGATATAAAGAGTAAATAATAAAAAGCTCAGTGCAAGATTGAATCCATCAAACAGTCTTTGTTATTGTAAGATCCACAAGGAGGAAGATAAAAGAAATATATTAAGATTACAGAGAGCTCCCCACTCTTAAAATAGTCATGAGACAAAAGTAAATAAGAAATCTGGTGTAACAGTACCAGCAAAATGAAAACAAAAGTGTGACATGATAGGGTGAATTTCAAACAAAAACAGCAAAGGCTGCAAATGTAACAGTCAATTGTCTGATCTATTCAGTATTTATAGCTATTTTCCTTTATACTTGAAATTTTCAACATCTCTCCCCCCGCATCAGTACTCTACTTTTTGATTAAGATGAATCTCAAGGTTTTTAATGTTATTGTAGGCCATGATTAGATTGTAGCATCAAAGTCAATTACACGTTTTTTTATTCTATGCCTCTGTACAAAATTGAGCAAGATTCAGGCATTTTATTATCGGTGTTGTAAACCCAGTGAAAAATTACACGTACTGAAGTTATGGAAACTTCTTACTGGTAAGTTGCCTTGGAATGATCCTCTTGGATTTCTACTAACAAATGAGCCTGTGGATTTTGCTCTCAGAAATAATCGACTGGACCTCTGTGTCTCTATCCTTCCTGTTCCTTTCCACATGTTTGCAAACAACCAGAGCAGCCTGCACCAAGTGGTATAAATCTTCCAGAAGATTTGGACATAGTCCCTTCAACATGTTTAGGTTCTGTTCCCAGCAACATAACACATCTGGGAAATAACTTGTGGATCTCTAAAGGTCAGAGTAATCTAAGGGGGTTAAGCCTTTCTTTCCCAACTCACAAATTTGTTCTGTTCGATTATCAGGTCTGGATTGAGAATACTACATCTGTATGATAGTGGTGACTAGAACAGGCCCGTGCCAAACAACCCATGTGGTTTATGGCATATAACTAGTTATTCAAGTGATTAACTGAGATACATCTTAAGTATTCCTGGGTTAACAAATGAAATATTGCATGAAAATTTTCAAAGAAGTATTTAAATTGTTTGGTATACTATTAATTACAGTCCTCTTGATGGCACTCCGTCCACCACCAGCAGGGTGTGGCTGCAGTACCATTAACAAGATGTTCTGCACAAACTCATCATGTCTTCTACAATATCACCTCTAAAATCTACAACTTCGATCAGCTGGAAGAGGGGTGCTGCATTTGAACACCATCTCTTCCAAATACCTATCCGTGACAAATATAATGGCTTCCTCATATAATTACGGTTGCTTCAGTGCCACTGGATGAAATTGCTGGAACTTTCAACCAGGTAGCTCATCCCTACCCTTTGTAAGTATTTTGTTTTTATTCATTCATGAATGTTATTGGGTTTATTGCCTTTCCCTAACCACCAAGATGACAGGCAAGAGTCAACCACATTGCTGGAATCTGAAGTTATATATAGAACCAGACCAGGCAAGACTCCTTTCCCTAAAGGACCAGAGGGTTTCTTTCTTTCAAATGACAATCAACAATAGTTATGCAGATAGATGCCAACAGGCGAGCTTTTTACTGAAACCAAATTTCACCCTCTGTCTTGGTGCAGCTTAAACCCATGTTCCACCCCATTAGTGTGGTGTTCTGGATTAGTAATCTAATGACAGTACACTATACCATTGTAAATGATGCTTATTCGCTTAGTGATCCATAAATGTGAAATGAAAGAAATTATCAGCTTTATGTTGACCATACAGGTAATTTTTTTGTGCCCAATGTGTAGATGCAAATGCATTTCTGTAAAGGGTAGTTAAGATGGTTTCACTTCAACATGGAACATTTGAGAGAATTTTTATTGCATCTCAAACGTATAGCTGAGTCAAAAAAATGACTCAACATTGTGAAATGTGGAATATTATCTCAGAGACATGTCCGCCCATACACCCAAAAGTTTTAACATGCTAACAGCTACAATTTATAAATAGGTATTTCACAAGCAGAATGACAGAGACTGTCAAAATACTGTCACTAGGGCAACATTTCAGTCTGATTTTGAGAGATGTTAGGAAAGTCTCTGTGCTTTGGTGCCTGCTAAGAATGTTACAGTACTTGGAGTTGGGTGATCTCATATCAATTTATAGTCAGCAAGAAAAGAGAAACCTGCACTTGTATTAATTACAGTAGCAACTCATCACATCCTGAGACGATATAATGTTTTGCATTTAACTAATTACATTTGAAATTTCAATTTGACAACCAGTCAGCTCCCTTCTTTCTTGTAGTATAATTGTTGTGATGGTTTGAAATTTCTTGTGTTTGTCCTGAAGACTGCAAGATGAAGAGTTTCAATAACACGCCTCATGTTTCACCAACATACATTTTGAAAGGTAGATGTGTTGAGGACAAATGCAGCATCTAATTAGAAGCCAGCAATGTCAAACAACAACAAATGAGCTGCATCAGTTAAATGATGAAACAAGTGGCCTGTTGGTTCGTTTCCAGCATTGTTGGTCAGCTTACAAGGAGATGTTGAGGACTCTTGTGGTGGAGTGGTGGTATTCTTATCTCTGGGCCAGAATTTCTCAGTTTAAAACCCTCCTGCCCCAGAGGTGCGCTATTGCACAGATTGATTGAGAATATTTATGAGGCAACTTTGTGCCATGTTTTCAAATCATGCAACAGGATTTTTCCGCATTCATCCCATCTAGCAGCAAAGTTTTGGTTTGATATTTCATTTGCAAGGTTGTTTCCCCCACAGTGTCACCTGTAAGTTCAGAAGATATGAAGAAATACGAACAGGAACAGGCCACTTGATCCAGCGAACCTGCCTTGCCATTTATTGAGATCTGATTGAGAACTCAATTCCATTTTCTGGCCTGTCTCCAACAAGGCTTCAGTAAAATGGTGGTCTCGATGCTGTGAACAGAAAGTGTTACAGAAACTCAAGAGGCTTGGCAGCATCTGAGGAGACAGAAGCAGAATTAACATTTTGAATCCCTCTCCAAGTTGCTGCCTGACCTGTTGAGTTTCTGTTTCTATTTCAGATTATAGAATCCCTACAGTGTGGAAACAGGCCATTCAGCCCATGAAGTCCACACTGACCCTCTGAAGAGCAATATCACCCAGACCTGCCTCCTACACTTTTCCAGCATGGACACCTTGGGCAATTTTGCTTAGCTAATCCACCTAACCAGCACCTTCTTTGGACTGTGGGCAAAAACCAGAGCATCTGGAGGAAACCCATGCAGACACAGGGAGAATATGCAAACTCTACACAGGCAGTTACCCAAGGCTGGAATTGAACCTGAGTCCCTAGCACTGTGAGGTAGCAGCGCTGACCACTGAGCCAGTATGCCACACTGGATGTCAAACATCCATAGTACTTTGCTTTTATTTATGTCTCAATGTGGGGGTCTGGTTCTAGAAAGTGATTTAAATTTATAAGCTCCTGACTCAGAGATAGGCAATGTACCATTTGAGCCAAACTGAAACTGATAGAACAAGTCATTAACAAAAATATAAAACTTGACTCTAATATAAAAGGTAATCTAATTCTAAACAGCCACAAAGACTGTCAAAACATTAAAAAAAATACACAGAAACAGTAAATATCTAAACTGTTGTATACACCTGTCGTAGACATGAGACCTGAGTAAAGTTAAAGTGATAAACAGATTTTTTATTAGTAAGGGGTTAAATATGGAAAGCAGGCAGGAAAGTGGAGTTGAAGTTAAGATGAGACCATCCATGATGGTATTAAATGGTGGAGCAGGCTCGGGA